CCCAAAATGAGTCTTCAGCGGAAGGTCGTGGTGGAACTCGTCTTTAATCGCAGCACTTTTGAAGCAGAGATAGGCAGATCTCTCTGAGTTTGAGACCATCTTTGTGCAAAACAGCTAGTTCCACCATAGGCTCCAGAGCTACCCAGATAAACAGTGCCTGGAAAAAGAAATCAAAAACTATAGATGTGTCTTCATAGGCTGAGTTCTTATGTTACAGCTTAGTTCCAGCAAGTGCAGTGAGCACTCTATGAGAGGATAATAGGCCACATTACTTTATAAGTAGAAAACGCAATAGACAAAACCAAGATTAGACAGCATCTTTTGTGTAATTATGACCACTCGTGTACATCAGTATAAGGTCACCTTGGTTAAAGAAAAGCATTTTATCCATTCACACATGGGCAATCTGTTGATTTTATCCCAAGGATTGTTGACTTCGGTGCTGGGAATGTGCTTCTTGCAGGCGTGGGAATGCCATTTTCTGGGTTTCAGTCCTTTTTACAGCTCTGCTGATGCAGATTTACAGCAGTCTCGTTTCTGTGAGTAAGGAAAGCTCTCCTTTTGTGCTCCTTAGGTTCATGAGTAAACGTCTCTTCATGTGTGTGAGCTGTGTGAATGGGAGTCTCACATATCACAGAGGAAATTGAAATCCTCAAAGAGAGATGTTTCTCATACCTTTTCTCTCTCCTTCAAGTGTATCCTTGTGGAAGCTATTAGCATCTTATTTTTGGGGGGGGGGAGGAAAAGTTCCTGGCATTTTATTTTGAATCACTTTTTTCTGTGCAGTCAATCTCACATTGCTCAGTCAATCCTGCTCACCTGTGATGCAGAACAAAGAATCCTGGATGGTGAAGAGAGGAGACAGTAGCAGAGGATCCAAGTCTGTTAGCAGGAGTGAGGCAGGGGTGGGGAGGGACGGAAGTGCTGGTAGAAACAGGACATGAAATTGTTTTTGCCAGATTCTATTTCAGTCAAAATGTTTCCAGAGACTTCCACTGAGGATAATATCAGAATGTTGTATTGTGGGTGTTAGAAGACGCTATGTCAAAATTAATACAAAGAGATAATAGAATTTTATCCATTTCCCATCTCTATTTTCTCTTCACACAATATTAAGATGTTTTCATCGGCTGGAAGGTTGTGCTGCACGCCTTTAATCCCACCACTCAGGAGACATAGTCTGGCGAGTTTCCTTGAGTTCAAACCTGCCTGATCTATAAGAGAGAGTTCTGCGACAGACTCCAAAGCTCCACAAGAAACCCTTTTTCAAAAACAACAACAACTTTTCATTCTTATACTTTCAATATATTGTTTTTTTTTGTTTGTGTGTTTGTTTGTCTTTTGTTTGTGAAAATTCACAAGGATGATTAAAGGATCTACCCTAGCTTGTTAATGCTTAGATGGAAGATGAAATTATGTACGAGGGCTATTTGTCAATTTTCATTAATGTTCTACAATCATGGATAGGTGGGACTCAGCAATTGACTGTTATTACCAGGATACTTGACTACTAAATAAAAATTTTTCTTTTCATGGGATAATTGATGTTGGTGTACTTGAGCTACATAATTAGTGGTGATTAAGTTGCAACCTTAATCGTTGAGCTGAAATCTTCTGGGAAGTGTTTCCTGAGAGCACAGTGAAATTGTATTCCAGAGGCAGTCATGCGTGTAACTCATGCTGGCAGCCAGACTTGGTAATGTGTAAGATTCACCCAGGTAATATTGTTGGTGAAGGTGTGAAGAGGTCATGGAAGACAGTAGTCATTTGTCACTGTAAGAGGCCATGAAAGACCATTGGTAAAGGCCCAGTGGCAGTTAAAAGTCCCAGACGGCAGGGGTCTTGCAAAGATTTTGAGGCTTACCACCATGATGAGAGCCTATGGGAGACTATTGTTGACAGCATAGCCCAGTTAATGAGAGAAACACCAGCGTTTTGGAAATGCTAGTATGACTGATTGGATGACCAGCAGAGAAACAGCAGGAGCACCAGAATGGAGCCAATTGGATCCTAAAGAGCATGTATTGTGAGCTCCAAAGAGCAGAGGAGAAGAGACCAAGTTGTTTTCATGAGTCCAGAAGGTTGCGAATGGATCCAAAATACTTCGACCTTGAGTTACTTATACAGGCATGTCTGATCTGGTCTACATATCTGGAACAATATCATAATGTACAATTTATCTAGTCCTACTTCAAAAGTCCCCACAGTCTTTCACAGTTTCAACAATGTTTTAAAATCCAAAGTTCAAAAATCCTTAACTGCAATTATCAAAATCAAAGAGTACATCACATACTTCTAGAATATAATGGCATGGGCTATGTGTTGCCATTTGAAAACACATGGAAGGGTAGGCATTCTGGCTTTATGCCAATTTCAAATGTGCCCTGTTCCATAGGCAACATATTCATCATCATGTATTGATCAGTTCAGCCCTTGGCAATCCTGGTAGTCATGAAGTCTAGTTACAGATGATTTAAGAATGAGGTTCTCTGATGATGGACAACCTGTGGGGAAGAGACCTCCCGCCTAAGACAGGGTTGGCCAGGTCTGCTAATGACAGATAAGACAGGGTGACCCTACTTGACCTAAAACAGGAGTGCGTATTAGTAAATAAAAAAGGGGGAAATTCTGGGCACAACAGACCTTGGCCGGAGGCACACATTCCCATCAGCCTGGAAGCAGGCAGTTGTAAGACAATGTTTACTAAAAACATGTTTACTAAACAATAAGGTGCCTGGATCAATAAGTTCCTGATAAGGGCTCGCCCTCAGGAAAGCCCTGACCTCGTCCTTTTCCAAAGTGTAACCGCCTCTTTCTGACCCACCCACCGCTGCCTCTGGTGTCAGGGTATTTATAACCATCCAGTGTAAGAATAAAGTAGAGACTTCTTGAGGAGCCTTCTGGAAGCCACCCACTGGCCTCTGTGTCATCAATCCCAACACCCTCCGCACATTCTCGCACACAGGCTATGCAGCAGGCGTGACAGTTTTCCTTCCTGTATTTTCTGTAGTGCTGTATTAGTGGGTATGTATTGTTTAAATCCGGTTTTGTCATGAAATATCTTGTTTTCTCCATCTATAGTGAATGAAAGCTTTGCTGGTATAATATTCCGGGCTGGCATTCGTGCTCTCTTAGTATTGGACCTTGTGGCTCTCCGAGTTTCCATTGAGAAAACAGGTGTGATTCTGATAGGTTTGCTTTCATATATTACTTAAGTTTGGGGTTTTGATTATTTTGTGCTGAGGTGGCTTTTTGTGGTCAACTCTATTTGGTCATCTCTGGGCTTTTTTTTTTTTTTTCCTTTCAGGGTTTCTCTCATTGTTTTGTAGGCTGTCCTGTAACTCTCTCTGTATACCAGGCTGGCCTGGAACTCACAGAGATCCACCTGCCTCTGCCTTGCGAGTGCTGGTATTAAAGGTGAACACCACCAACGATCGGCCTATAGGCTTCTTGGCCTTTCATTGGCATGTCTTTCTTTAGGTTGGGAAAGTTTTCTGGTATGATTTTTTTATATATATTTTCTGCACCTCTGAGCTCTGGTTCGTCACCTTCTTCTATCCCTATTTTTCTTAGGTTTGGCCTTTCGCTGTGTATCATTTTTCCTGGATATTTTGTATTAGGGATTTGTTGGACTTAAGATTTTCTTTGGTTGATGAATCTCTTTTTCCTAGTGTGTTTTTAACACCTGAGATTCTCTCTTCCATCTCTTGTGTTCTGTTGGTTATGCTTGAGTCTGTAGTTACTGTTGTTTACCCATCTTTTCCAATTCCAGCATTACTTTAGACTTTTTTTTATAAATGCTTCTATTTCAGCTTTCAAACCTGGCACTGATTGAATTACTTCTTGCAATTTTTGGTTTGTCTTTTCGGGCATTTCATTCGATGATTTTCTCATTTCTTCTTTTGGTTCTCTATCATAATCTTCAAGAAGTTATTTGTAAGGTCATTCTCTTATGGTTCATCTGTATTGCGATGTTGAGGTCTTGCTGGTATAGAATCACTAGACTCTGGTGTCATAGAGTCCCTAGACTGGTGGCCTCATATTGATTTACCTGTTGTTGAATGCATTCTTTATTTATTTATTTATTTTTGGTTTTAGCAGACAGGGGTTCTCTGTATTTTTTAGAGGCTGTCTCTCCTGCTTCACCTCGAACTCACATAGATCCGCCTGCCTCCGCCTCCCGAGTGCTGGGATTAAAGGCATGTGCCACCACCGCCCTGCTGTTGAATGCATTCTTATATTGTCTTCCCGTCCCTTTTTCCAGTATGTTCAGGTGGGGTGTCTTCCACTCCTGGTGGATAGTCATGCAAGGTTCTTTTCTGGTGGGTGCAAGCATATCCACTACTCTGATTGGTCCCACTGTGGGTGCAGGAAATTCTGTTTAGGTGAATGCCAACAGCTGTCTCCTGGTTGCTATTCATGTATTTGAACTGTATGTGAAATGGTCTCACATCTCACGGTTAAAGTGAAATCCTCTGTCAAAGAGACATTTCTCTTGATATTTTCTCTCCATGTTTATCCTATTAAACCTACTACTGTTTGGAGGCTATCGGTCCAGCCCGGCCTCGAACTCACAGAGATCCGCCTGTCTCTGCCTCCCTAGTGCTGGGATTAAAGGCGTGTGCCACCAATGCCCGGCAGTCTTCATTCTTAATGGGGACGTTGAATCCTCTCTGCATCATTGTCTGTTTGCTTCCAACAATTCTCTCATGGAGGGTTCCGTAGATTTGGAAAGTATTTTCAGGAAATGCACTCATCCTAATCACATAGCTTTCTGGAAATGTACCATATGGTCATCTGGTAATACTCTTTGTTTTGCAATTTTATAGAATCAACTTTTCTATTAGCTACCGTCATCATGTCCAACTCTCTTCACAAGAAATCTTTTTTGAAACATTCCTTCACCTTTAGCACTTTGCATCCTTATATTTGAAGGAAATACTTTTTTGGAAAGTATATATTTTGATTTTATAGTGTTTCCTCCTATTTTTGACATCTAGATGTAAAATTTCAACAAGAGCTCAAGTTTTCTCCTAAGCCACTCAGAGAAGAGCCAGAAGAACAATGGATGCTTCTGTGGTAAATGCTCCCCAGGTCAGTGTCATGTTCACATTTTTATGTAAACTTCATGATGCATTATGCCCCTGTTTCTCTGAGATCAGCTCAAAACCATGGGCACTGAAGTCATACATTGTAGTTATTGTCATGTGTTTAGAGAGAAATAAATTTAGTTTCTCTGTAGGAACAGCAAGTGGCTCTTACCTCTGAGCCATGTCTTCATGGTGGTGGACGCTTGTAACATTATATAACACTGTATATTCTAATTTTTCAAAAAGAAAGGAGTAATCATCAATGATACATGTCTATGCTACATTCTTGCTAGATGGATTAGCTCAAATACTGAAAATAAAAATAGAGTTGAAATGAAGAGGTTTAAATTTTCATTTCTGTTAATTGCGTAAACTATAATGTATTCAAAATTCCTCAAGAGTTAGATTATTTCTAATTTCTATTGTTTACATTTGTTTTGGTAACTGAAAACATTTCTAGTTCATCTGATTGCTTGGTCACATATCCCTCTCTTTTCATATATATTTCTAAGTATTCTAAAGTATTATTCAGGAAATTGTTACTTTCAATATTGTTTGTGTCAACTTTTAGAAAAATTCAAATAACATTAATGTTATCTAATTCTGCTTTTCTGGTTTATTTCATGTTTGTAATTATTCCTCATTAAATAGTTTCACGAAGTACTTGATTCTATGTGTTGTTTAGAGCATTGGATATATGCAATGATTTTATGCTCCTTACACTCAAGAAAAAACTGAGTTTATTTTATCCATGGATTCTGCATCCTGAATCCAACCTCTTTGTTCTAGAGAGTGTGCAGCAGTATAACTGGGCCTCACTATCTGAACTGAGCATTTTGGAATAGTCATGTGAACACAGCTTCAGACAGCATCCATGTAGTGTCCATATTAAGCGAGGTTGACTGGTGTATAAATTCAAAGCATAGTTTTGCTCATTATAACCTTACCCTCTGAAACATGACAATGAGATTCTGTTTGATATCAACTCATATTTCATAAAGGTACATTCCTGCATCTAGAGCTCAAATGTGTGTGTTGTATTCCCTAAAAGGTTGCTGATTGCCAGACTATTATGTCATCCTGTTTTGACAGAGAAAAAAAGTACAATACTCCCTAAATGGTATAGAAAGTGTCTTTTAGTAAAATTAAATTGTATCATTATTTTATGTGTTTCCATGTTTCCTAAAAATTATGTGTAGTGTGTAACACTCCTGCCTATAAGGTGCTGCGTAGTATCTCAAGGATCTGAGGTGACATCTTGTTTTGTAGTGCCATGTGTGTGCTTGCAATCAAGCTACATTTAAAGGACGTTAAGATATTGCAGACTGTAAACAGGAGACAAAATTTTTCAAACTTAGTCATTTTGCAAAATTTTTGGTACCCACATCTTAGAAAATATCAGAATATTCATGGAGGAGAGACACCAAATTAATGTAAGCAATGTACTATGTCTACCTATACATTGTCTTTGAAAGAGTAGGCATCAGGACTTATAGAAAAGTCATGTCCTTTAAAAATTGACATGCCTCATCTATATCTCAAACATCTCTCTAATTCATTAGGTCTCTTTGATATGGGGGAGGTTTCCAGACAAGGTTTCTCTGTGGCTTTGGAGGCTGTCCTGCAACCAGGCTGGCCTGCCTCTGCTTCCTGAATGCTGGGAATAAAGGTGTGTGTCATCACTTCTTTGGTCATATGGTTTCTTTTATAGAAGAAATCATTTTGTGAATCAGTGCATGGTAAATAGCTAATTTTGCATTGCAGGGTCTGTTATCACTCAGGGATGTGTCTGTAGACTTCTCACAGGAAGAATGGGAATGTCTAGACTTTGAACAGAGGGCTTTGTACATGGATGTGATGTTGGAGAATTACAACAATCTGCTTTTTGTGGGTAAGTGTTCTCTTCTCATAGAATTCCTGATTCATCCTTTGCATTTCCTTACTTCGTGTATCTGTAAACTCTCTGAAACTAGAAAATCCCAGAAATGAAGAAAATTTGGTTACCAAGGAAACTGGTGTTTCATTTATATTTTCTGTGTTCTCAAGATGAGTAAAGACATCTTGCCTATGATCTCTTTCTACCTACTATCTAATATACAAAGAACATTTCATAGTCAGAGAATATTGACTTGTCAGAGCATGGAAATATATTGTCGTACTTATCATAATTAGAATATTTTAATTTTATTACTGGATTTAACACTTCACCTATTATTATAAACAGTGCAAAAGTTTTTGGAGAAAGGGCTGTTGTTTATAAGAAGGTTGTGTGGCTAACTAATTTATTTTATGATTGCCATGTTTAGTACTGGCACAGCATGATATTAGTATTTCTAATTTAGAGCCAGAAGGGAGAGGACAAGTTAGGTTCCCTGCAAATGTGGTTTATGAATTCCAAGTTATGTTACTCTATCTCAAATCTTAAGATGTAGGGAATCATTCTTCATATCATCCTTCACAGAGCACCTGGAAGGGACAGTGTTTATGTAGAACTAGAAGCCTCTTCACTTGAATGAGTTAGGTCATCTAAATTTGTAAGACAGTTGTTTAGTTTGGTCTATTTGTGGAACTCCTGGCAGTGGGATCAAAACCTCTTCCTAATTCTTTGAATTGGTATCCAGAAAATATTCCTCAGAGTTGGTTGCTTCAAACAGCAAAGGGAGGAGCTTAGATACACCTCAACTTAGTATGTCATGCTTTGTTGACATCCATGTGAGAACTGCCTCTTTTTGAACACAAACAGAGGAGTACTTATTGGGGTCATGATGGCGAGCCAAGGAGAGGGAACACAAAGATTGTGAGGAAGGGAAACTGTAGAAAGATGTCAAATAAGTGAAAAAAACACAATAAAAAAAACAATGAGTAGGCATTATTGGTTACTGTGATTTACTGTAGATCAAATTGGAGATTCTCAGCATCCATTTTTTGATTATTAAACAGAATACTCCTCTGTTAAGAGTGCTGTCCCTGAAAGGTACTAGTGTATATGTCATAGAAAACCTAAGATAACATCAGGTATTGAATCAGTTACTCATGCATTAATTACTATTTTTCAAAATTATACTAATTTTTCAGAGTTCCATCACCTATGTGGCAAATGGGAGACAGTCTTGCACCAAGGCACAAAACATTTTATCCATGACCATGAAAATATTCAAGAGAAGTCTTATACGTGTAATGAGTCTGGCAAAATGATTCCTGATTCCTACCAATGTACACCTTGTGACACAATGGATAATGCCAAAAAAGTCAACAACTACAGATTTGATAACCACAGAGATGCCTCTAATGAATCCTTAAACCTCAACAGACACAACATTGGGAATGCTAGGGATGAAACTTGCACATATCAAGATTGTGTAAAGTTTTTGTATTTGTGTTCCATCTTTAGCCAAAATCAAAGAACTCACATAGGAAAGGATGACTACAAAAATGCAGAGTATGATGCATCTTTTGAGTCCAATACAGAAATCAAGCTTAAAGAAACTGATTGCGGAGAGCATCCACAGCAATGTATGCAATGTGAATTCTTCAAGACTCACTCAAACCTTATTAGGCATCATGGTTGTAGTAAATCATTTCTGAATTTTTCACAACTCAGTACATATTATAAAATCCATTGTAGAGAAACTCCTGACAAATGTACAGAGTGTGTCCAGTTCTTTAATTATTTATCAAAGTTCGAAAGAAATTTCAACATCCACACTGGAGAGAAACCTTACAAATGTAGTGAATGTGACCAGTCTTTCACTGAGAAATGTAATCTTACAACTCATCAGAGAATCCACAAAAGAGAGAAATCTTACAAATGTAGTGAATGTGACAAATCATTTTCCATGAAATGCCATCTTACAAATCATCAGAGGTTCCACACTAGAGAGAAGTCTTACAAATGTAGTGAATGTGGCAAATCCTTTTCCAATAAATGGAGTCTTACAACTCATCTGAGAATCCACACAGGAGAGAAACCTTACAAATGTAGTATATGTGATAAATCCTTTTTGAAGAAATACTATCTTACAACTCATCAGAGATTCCATGCAGGATATAAACCTCACAAATGTAGTGAATGTGACAAATCCTTTTCCAAAAAATGGTATCTTACAACTCATCTGAGAATCCACACGGGAGAGAAACCTTACAAATGTAGTGAATGTGACAAATCCTTTAACACAAAATACTATCTTAGAACTCATCAGAGAATCCACACAGGAGATAATCCTTACAAATGTACTGAATGTGACAAATGCTTTAACACAAAAGAACGTCTTCAAATTCATCAGAGAATTCACACAGGAGAGCAACCTTACAAATGCAGTGAATGCGACAAATCCTTAACCACAAAACGAAGTCTTATACTTCATCAGAGAATTCACACAGGAGAGAAACCTTACAATTGTAGTGAATGTGGCAAATCCTTTTACAGAAGAGACCAACTTAGATATCATCACAGAATCCACACAGGAGAGAGACCTTACAAATGTAGTGAATGTGACAAATCCTTTATCACAAACTACCATCTTATAAATCATCAAAGATTCCACACTGGAGAGAAGCCATACAAATGCCCTGAATGTGACAAATCTTTCACTGAGAAATATAATCTTACAATTCATCAGAGAGTCCACACAGGAGAGAATCCCTACAAATGTTGTGAATGTGGGAAATCCTTTTCCAATAAATGGTATCTTACAAGTCATCTGAGAATCCACACGGGAGAGAAACCTTACAAATGTACTAAATGTGACAAATCCTTTTTTAAGAAATACGATCTTACAGCTCATCTGAGAATCCACACAGGAGAGAAACCTTACAAATGTAGTGAATGTGACAAATCCTTTTTCAGGAAACACAATCTTACAGCTCATCAGAGAATCCACACAGGAGATAATCCTTACAAATGTAGTGAATGTGACAAATCCTTTTCCAAGAAATGCTATCTTACAAGTCATCTGAGAATCCACACAGGAGAGAAACCTTACAAATGTAGTGAATGTGACAAATCATTTATCACAAAAGATTATCTTAAAGCTCATCAGAGAATCCACACAGGAGATAAACGTTACAAATGTAGTGAATGTGACAAATCCTTTTCCAAGAAATGTTACCTTACAACTCATCTGAGAATCCACACCGGAGAGAAACCTTACAAATATAGTGAATGCGACAAATCCTTAACCACAAAACAAAGTCTTGTAACTAATCAGTGAATTCATACAGGAGAGAAACCTTACAATTGAAGTAAATGTGCCAAATCCTTTACCAAAAGAGACCGTGTTAGAACTCATCAGAGAATCCACACATTAGAGAAACCATACAAATGTAGTGTATGTGACAAATCCTTTTCCAAGAAAGAGAAACTAAAATGTCATCTGAGAATCCACACAGGAGAGAAACCTTACAATTGAAGTGAATGTGCCAAATCCTTTAACAGAAGAGAACAACTTAGAACTCATCACAGAATCCACACAGGAGAGAAACCTTACAAATGTAGTGAGTGTAACAAATCATTTTGCAGAAAAGGCTGTCTTAGACTCACCGCAGAATACATAGAAACACCTTAGAAATGTAGCAAATTTGAGAAATCCTTTAATGTTGTTTCCAATTCTTATTATATGTTCTGGAATGTTTCAACACCGTGGGAAACCCAAGTTTTAAGAATATCAACCACCAGAAAAGTCAATCTGAGAAACATTTTGTGTAAAAATAATCTTGATTACACATCCAAGTATTCACACAGGAGTGAAAACTTAAAAATGCAATATACATGCAAAAGACTTTACCAGCCTCTCAGGTCTAAGAAAGTTTGTGAAAATTCATAAAGGAGATAAAAGTTTTAACGGGGAAAAAATTTGCATGTGCTTCATTTAAACTCTGTCCTTTGCTACACCTGAGACTCCACACTACGGAATCATGAACATGACAAATTTGTGAAAGAATTTTAAGTTATTTTCAAATCTTAGAAATCATCGATAGTTTTGCCAATTTTGATTAAAACTTTATTTGTTCAACCTCAAGTAGTTGTTAATGAAGATGAAACACAGAATCCTGAAGTATGAGCTGTTGTGTAAGTGTCCTGGAGACTAGAATGATCCATTCTTAAAGAAAGCTGATTAGGGCAGGACCCACAGCACTCAAAACTGCTTCACGAAATCTCCAGCACTGACAGGATTCAATGTGTTTAACTCAAATGAAGAAGCTGAGAGAAGTCATAACACTTAGAAGAATAATTTAAGCATTAAGAAAGTATATTTTTAGCTTGTACATATGCAGGTATGCAGTGTGTTCCAGGTGTTCATTTTTCATAAGCTGTTTCATAGCTGGTTTTGATTTCCATGACAGCAACTGTGTCTGAGTCCCTTATGCTCTGATAAGCATCTGCTTCCCCATACTGCAGTACTCAATTCTAATAAAACTCTTTAGTTCAACGAGTTGAGCTTCATTTTGTTTATATTTTCCAGATGGGGCAAGTAGATGAATGTGCATGTTGTACCTCCCTAGGAATTGTATTTCACAAACATGTGCCCAACTCACTAATTGTTTCTCCAAATTTGTTGAAAACAAGAGCTTGATAATAGCATAGCATTTCTCAGCCTATGGTCAGTGTCTCCTTTGGGATTCTAAGATCCTTTCACAAGGGTTCTTAAGATACAGTACAACATATTTTAAATGATCTTAATAACTGAGATATTATACCTTTCTTGTCTCTGGGTGTAAATGTGTCAGGTTCACTTTTCTTTTGTGTGGGAAATAAGTCATCTGGAGCATCATGATTGTGGTATTTGAGTTAATTATATAAAGTTTACTGTAGGGAGAAGACATTTCCTTGCAAGCTCCTTTAGTTTTTCTCCGCCTGTCGTCTGGGCTGTGCCGCGTTGTTGTCCCCAAATAATACACAAGATACTGTGTTAATTATGAAGCTGATGGCCTTGCTTGTTTCATACTGGCTAGCTCTGACTTAAGTATTTATCCCATACTTGTTAATTACTTGAGAAAAGTTTCCGGGCGTCTTTCCACTATGGGGCTTACATCTTGACTCCTTGTGTTTCTCCTACCCAGAATCCTACTGGACTTCTAGTCCCACCTATCTTGCTTCCCTATTTTCCAACAGTGCTCTCTTGACATATAAACAGAACATCTGCATCATCTCTTTTCTGTCTAAACAAAAAGAAAGGTCTTAACTTTAACATAGTCAAATTATATATAACAGAACAGTTATCAAGTAAGAACACAGTTACATTATTTTAGGAGATTTAAAGAAAATATCATCCATCTCATCCCTGTGAATTCAAACTTCTATAGGTAGCTCATCCGTTATCATAACTAAGGAAAACTACAATCATAACTATCTGTCTTCAACTCCATCAAAGACCACAGAAGGATAATATATAAACACTAGAATTGACAGAGTCATCTCATTTCCTGGACACTCACCCAAAGTTCCTCTGTAACGTTGGGGTATCCATCTTCAGCCCATAGGCTACAGTGTGTCTGGAACACTTCTCACCAAAGCAGGGAATTTCAAACTGTCCATCTGCATCGGCAGTCTGCAGTCATTTTTCTGTCCTGCAGAAAGTCTCATAGACTCTTCCATGAAACAGGAACCCTGAAGGACTATTTGAGTTCAACAGTCACTTTCCTGTGAGTCTTGCATATCTGGTTTATACAGCAACAGGCCAGCAGTTTAGGCAAGAGCAGTTTCTTGCCCAAATGGTTAATCTTGCCATGGTGAAAGCAAACTCCATAATGAGTTTCTTTGATACCCATCTTCCTCTCAGACGTAATTGGTGATACCAGGAAGAGGCATTTTTCATTGTCAAGAAAAACCCTGAACCATTTTAAATAACATTTTCTGAAAGTCTTTGAAAGGTTTGAAGACTATCTATCTCAAATATATCTCTGTATATCTAGAAAACCAAACTTACCTAACTATAGTCTGTAGTTAATTATGCATTACATGTTAAAAGACCAGTATAAGCACAATACTTAATAAAGAGGAGAAATACACATATCACAAAATTGACCTTGAATTTGTATCAATAAATGAAAAACCATACCAATACAAAATACTCATTTCCATACCATAATCCCTTTTTTCCTTTAAAATAGATAGGTTGTGATCATTAACCATTCATAAGCAACTCCATTCAAATGAAAACAAAGATTTATAAACAATATGGGGATTTGGACATTGCTCATTTCAAACTGCTTTGTGCTGGAAGGGGGCCCAGTTCACAACATGGGGATCATGACAAAACTCAGAAACCTGTATAAGTCCTTATTTTAGGGATCTATATCATCTTATCTGTTTTAGATGTTGAATCACTTGGTCCACTGCTTCTGGGGGTCTTGGTTCATCATACCACAGAAGCTTTGAAGGAATCCTCAGCTATTAATTTTCTGTAGAAACATAAACAAAAACTTTTCCAAAGTAACATATCGTTAGACTTAAATTTTGAGTCAAGGCATTTTTAAGAGGTATAAGTTGAATTAGCATAGCAGCATTTTTACTCAAGTGTATTTTAGTAGTTGCTCCTTTCTAAGCAATCAAAAACTGAAAACCACAGTAGCATACATTATCCAGACTATCTGTGTATTTTCCATCTTTATGTGGCTTATTTATTCATCTATTATTACTTTATTTATTTTACTTTTATTTTTCTCTGAGACAGGGTTTCCCTTTGAAATCTGCCTGCCTCTGCCTCTGGAGCAAAGGCTATCGGCATGGGCCACCACAGCCAGCTTCTCTATGTATTTGTCACTATGCCATTTCTTTTTCCCTCTCAATCGTATGTATATTTTTAAATACACTGTAAATTTTTAGAGGTTTTTCTGCATCCAAGTCTGACTTTACTGTAAATCTTTATGTTTTTCTCACCACGTGTCTTATCTATTAAAACCATGGCTGTTTAAACTGTAGTTTTTCCAAATGGCAGGCGCAAGCGTGATTTCAGCTCATTGTCTCAGTCTATGCTGTCATCCAGCAAAAGCTGCTGGCTTGGAGATGTGGTCACTTCCACTTCCAGCTGTATGTACAACTTTTCAATTGTTAGCAGAGCCTCTTAAAAGAATCTTGCAGGTTTTTGTTTTTGTTTAAGTGAGCCCCGTGAGTCTCAGCTTGTTGCTTGCAAAACAGAGCCCACCTGAGAAAAATGCTGCTACCAAGAACCCATGCTTTTCTCCGTTCTTTAGTTTCTAAAATTCCTTTAATGCTTTTGTCGTTCTATGTGGAAATTGAATCCCACACGGTGACACCATTTGTAGAGAGGAGCTTTTTCCTTGCCAGCTTCTTTGGATTTTCCCCTGCCAGTCACCTGGGCTCTGCCACGTTGTAGAACCCAAATAATACACAAGATGCTTTGTTAATTATGAAGCTGTTGGCCTTGCTTGTTTCTCACTGGCTAGCTCTGACTTAAGTATTTATCCCATACTTGTTAATCTAAGTGTTTCTCATATTGGAGAAGAGTTTCCGGGCTTCTTACCCCTATGGCAGTCCCACCTATCTTACTTCCCTATTGGCCAACAGTGGTTTATTGACATATACACAGGACTTCTGCATCAATTTAACAGTGTGATTTTAGCAATAACACATTCTATTCCATGTAAATGCAAATTTGTATGACTTGCTGCCTCAATTCCTTCAGTAAATCCAAGCTTCCATCTTACATGTGTATCTTGTACTTAATTAGCTTTTTTCCTTTTCTTTCTTTTAGCTATGTTTCACTTACTGTTCAGATTTGGTTAAATAACAGAAGCAAGAACAGATATTGTAAAAATTTTCCTTCTGCTTGGTTATATAGATGATGAAGTGTTCTGTCTCCAAACAGACATTGATATGTCCTCTTATAGTTTGTAGTATTAATTTTGTTCAAATGTTCTCAGTAACAAATAGTGATATTTAATTATGTCATAGGTGGATTCATTCACCATTACCCCTTTGTCATCCTCTGTCTTCCCTTCCTAGTTAGACATGTCTTCTTCCCAGCTTTCCTCCAATTTCATTTATGGTTTTGGACCAGGTAGCCAGGCATCCAGGGCTTAATATACCCATAATTCCTACTGCCATGTCATATGGCGAGAGAGTTTTTCATATATCACTTCCCAATCCTCTAGGTCTTAAAATTGTTTTCCTCCTCTTCTCTAATGTTCTCTGTAATTTAGAAGGGGAATATGGAATTCTCCTTGTAGCCTCCCCTGTAAACTGTGGATTGCTCTCAGTATTTCAAAAGTTATGATTCACTGTAATAACTTTTGCCCAGTGAAAACAATGTTTCTGAGACCTAGACTGAAAGCAGGACCAGGACATGAGTGTCAAAGGCAGTTTGAACATTTGTACGTGCAAGAAAATACGAGCAGCAGATTCCCTCATAGGGCCTATGGCCTTCACCATCACTGGCTATTGGCCCATTTGTCTGTGCCATGTGTATATTTCCTTGTAACACTTAAGTGTGTTGTCCATAACCCTTTCACCCATAGTGTTACTTGAGCTTGGTTAATCTTTTTTACAGGGATTTGGTGTGCATGCCATGACATTCGTGTGACAGATATTTCAATCAGATCAACTATGCCTGCATTCTTAATGTTTTCACAACCCTGACATGACATTGTGTTATGAACAAAGAGATTGTATCAGAGCTGCATGCATGTGTGAGTCACTGAGAAATGTTATTCAATGAGGCAGTAATGATTCTCTCTGATTGGCAGACCAGAGTATGTCGTCTTGGCGGTGAAAAGTCAGCTTTTCCCTTCTCAGTACAAAAAAAAAATAAGATGGAGGAGGAAGAGGAGAATAAATGCGTTTGAATGTGTCTTTTTATGTGAGCAGTGGGCTGAAATCTACATGTCCTAAGGCTTAGAAAATACTTCCACTAACTGGGTGCAAGCATTCAAGTATATGATCATTAGGGGTAGTGTAGCACAATTTCTAAGTGGTCCTAATAATAATTATCCCAAGTTAGATATAGGAGTAAAGGCTGAAAGATCAGAGTAGCAGAGCAACCAGGCTCTACTTGTTCTCTATACCAAATCCTCAGACCAAATGGGTAATCCTGTCTCTAGAAATCCTCAGACTGGATGCTGTCTCTAACCTCAGACAGAATGAGTGAGCTCCTGTCTCCTCCTACTTTATATTCCTCTCAGCAGCCATGCCACACCCATCTCCACCTCCCTAGATTTGGGTTTAAAGGAGTGTGACTCCCAGCTTCTGGAATTAAAGGTGTGAGCCACCAGTACCTGACTCTTATAGACAGAATCATTATCATGTAGCCCAGGATGGACTTGAACTCATACTTATCTTCCTGCCTCTGTCTCAGGAGGGCTGGGATTAAAGGTGTCTGTCAACACTGCATGGCCTCAGTGGCTTCCTAGTGGCTATCCCTTCACCCTGATCTCCAGGGAAACTTTATTTTGTAAACCACAAACAATATATGCC